TATTGATGAGAAAGATTCCACAGACCCCTCCCCCCCCCAGCCCCATTTTTCAGTTCCTCAATCTACCTAAAGTAAATGGGAATACAATGTCTGACTATTTGTCTGTCTGACTTCATGCCTGTCTGACTTCCTGTCTGTCGTTCTTTCCATCTGTGTCTGTCTGTTTCTGTAGGCCTGTCTGTCTATATATATATATATATATCATATAAATCTAGCCTTACCCAACCAATCCGATCTAATCTAATCTAACCTATCATTAAACAGCTGCACTGAAAGCATACTTACCTTTCAGAAATATCGAATTTTTAATTTAAACTGTTAGAAAAACCCTGATCACAATCCTGTAATTTTGTCTTTAGACCTCTCAATCCGTTCACCATGTTAACACACCACTGACTAGCATTCACCAGCAGTTCTAGGAATAGTTGGTTTCAGGTTCAGTTACATTTTCTTTATCACAGCGAAAATCGGGAATTTTATTTCCGGCCTGGAATTTCCAATCGCTGTTTCTGTGCTCGTTCTTCCACGAAGTCCGCAACAATGTTACGGAAACGTCTGTTTTAGTGTTATAAGAAAAAATACTCAATTTTACCTGCCTGTTTCAACAAATTTGTCATTATTTTTATTTTGTTTGTCTTAAAATATGTTGTAAAACCTTTTCAAATTATAAAAAAAAATGTAAAGTAGTATTAAGATTTATATAAGAAGAAACAGGAGGTTAAATTTAAAAGTTAACATTGAATTAAAAATATATCATTATGTCCTCTCTTAACAGAGACGAAGCTTATTAATTACCCTTTCATTGTTTACAATATGTGAGATGTTTGGTTCATTACATTAAACTAGCGAGAATCCGGCATGCGATTGATCTACCCATGCAGTAGCTCTGTTTAAAATTATATAGCTCATTTAATAAAACAAAATAAGGCCCCCGGCCCCAACGGCGAAAATGTAAAATGAGTTAATACCGGGTTTGATGGCGAAAACTCGATGCATTTTATATTTTATATATTATATTATATTTTATATATATATATATATATAGATATATATAGATATATAACTTTTCGTGAAAGTGGTTCGACATTTCGGTGTACATGTCCCAATTTCGGACTGATTTGTAAAAAAAAAAAAGTAATTAATGATATGAAATAATATAAAAATGAAAACAATACTACTATTTAGGAATGCCTATAATTAAAGTATGTATATAATCGAGCAAGGCCAAAGTAATCTGAATTTTCCAAAAGCATTTCTTCTTTTGCTCTCCGGTTGAGGGAAGTATATTGTAAAACTAAATTCGGGTATTACACAATCAACTAAGAAGGGAAGACGTTACAAAATTATCTCATTCTCTCTCAACCCTATCCCGTCTCACATTTTTCAACATCACATTCATAGTTTAGTGCTTTAGTAAGTATTCTTCTTAAGTATGTCTTGTTCAGTTTGATAATGTAAAATATGTATAGATATTTATACAAGAAAAATTGCTTGATAGTTTTAATTTATTATTTACCTGAGATATTAACGTGTATTATTTTTTAAGAGTTTTTATTTCAATAATGAAACTCTACAAATGGGAGGACATTAGAGGACTTATAAAAAGCAATGTAAAATCAATTTTTTAAATACGACCTTACTGATCTTACTTTACTGCTGCCCAGGTGAACTTTCAAAAATATTGTATTTCTTTTGTTTTGTAATTACATTAATACTTAAAGAAATCTTATTAATTGTAATAAGTACTGTTTTGAGTGTCGTATTTTTGCTATTGTATTTCTCTATGGTATCATGCTTTGTTATGCACTGTTAAGAACGAGCCATAAACTAAAAATGCGAGATTTGTTTCTCACAATAGACAGCAGTGCATAACACTGAGATACTCACATAAAAGAGGGAAATTCATTTTTGGAGTCGATTTCAATTATATAACAAGCAGCTTAGTTACAAAAACCTCATAAAGGAAAGATACAATTTTAGAAGATTAACACGAACAAAAATTATACAATAACACAGACATATAACATGGTAGACGCATACAGAACACTACACAGGGAGGGAAAGAAATATTTACACGCAACACTTTCAACACTAAAGGAATAATTGATAGATTCTACATTGAAAAAATAAATACAATGACTGAAGCAAACACATTTCAGAAACACTAGACTTTACAGATCACGAAGGGGTGAAAATTGCAAATAAATACAACAGGATCAAACATCATTAAAAATTCCACACATTGGAAATTTATCAACACATTTTTTAGAAAACAATCTGTACACAGACTTCATCAAACAACATTGCACAACAACACACTACCAACAACAAACATAGGGCCTCACTCTGAACTTTTAAAATCCACAATCAATCTTGCTAAACAATCTTTTCAGCCACACTTTACAAGAATGACGTCGCTACGTACAATAAATGCATAAATGACTCATAAAGGAAAGGAAATTATAAGATGCATAGCCCTCGGTATTAGATCAGAGGATGGCAACAATCAAGAATTAGTTCCCTTTAATAATAATTTTTTTAAAAATCGTTTCATTGCATGAGCGTTTTTTCTGATCCGTTGGAAAAAAGAAATTATGCGTTGGCTGTCGATAGAAACTCTTTTAACTATAATGTTTCCTACGCTTTATTCATTGGTTGAGGATACGCAGTTTTCTCTGTATAAAATAATTTCAACATTTCATTTACATTACGTTTTCAGATGAACGTGGACTTCAGAGGCGTCATCTCTCTATATATGTTTGCTATATAAACGTGATAGCTTTATACATGTTTATTATATGAATGTAATGTATTTGATTCATTGAGGAAAGAACCTACCAAAATGGAATAAATATAATTCTTAAATTAGTTCTTTCTGGTGATATTTTTATTTCATGTATGCGTGCATAATTTATTTCATAACATGTTGTTGTTTTTTTGTGGTTTTTTTGTTAATAAATTTCAAATTAATCTTGCATTGATGAAATAAAAATCTGCATTGTTAGATGTTTTAGCAGATGTAAAAGTAAAATAATACAATACAAAATTTAATACATTCATCTTAAATATATAAAATATATATTTTTTTTAATGTAGTGAATATTTGATACAAGTATGATGACATATATTGAGTTCTGAATAAAAATCATTTCATTGGTCCTAGTTTTAAAGAGATATCAAGCAACAATCAGCAAAGAAGTTAAGACGTGACACAATCATCCCACGCCCCTAATAACAAGCAACTAAGAAGTTAAGACGAGACACAATTATCACACCCCTTCTCTACAATACTCCATCTCACATATTTTATATTTTAATATCACAGTCAAACTTTTGTCTTTTAGTAAATATTCATTAATTTTTTAATATATATATTTTTGTTTACTTTTTCATTAGTAGGTCTTGTTTAATTTAAAAACTTGAAATGTATATATATACAAGAAATAATGATTGTTAGTTATAAGTTATCATTTTGTTGAGACATTAAAAATTTATCACGTTGGAGAATTTTAATTTCTTTAATGAAATTTAATGCGAGTGAAGTAGAGGACTTATAAAAAACAAAGCAATGTAAAATCAATATTAAAAACCTGACCTTACTGATCTTATTTTACTGCTTACTCTTTTCAGGCTGCATGTGGACTTTCAAAAATATGTTTTTCGTTTGTAAGACTGAGACTTTACTTTCAATAAGTGTTTTTTTATTTGATATATTAAATAGTGTTTAATTACAAGGAAATCCAAGCGTTGATGAATTATAACATAATTGCCATATAATCTGGCCAGTTTCTGAAGTTAGTTTCAAAACACATTAAGCGCATCGGGAACGAGAATTACAAAGTGTAATGAGGGTTTAAATAATTGTGTGTGTCTAAAAAAATATATGATGTTAGTAGGTCAGCGATGTTGTTAGTAGGTCAGCGATGTGGTTAGTATGTCAGCGATGTTGTTAGTACGTCAGCGATGTTGTTAGTATGTCAGCGATGTTGTTAGTATGTCAGCGATGTTGTTAGTATGTCAGCGATGATGTAGCTATTCAGCTCTGTTGCAAGTGGTTAAGCGATGCTTCGTATATTTCTTAAGGCTCTAAAGGCTATGATACAGTAGTATTGTATGTTACACCATGATTCACTCACACTGGTTTAGCACACATGGTACCATACATCACATCGTTTGCTCAATCCAGATTCAATGTCTAGTACTATGCTTAACTGATAGCGTCATTATTGAGACAACGTGATGGCATAGTCATAGGTATGACCTGGGTCTGACTACTGAAATAGATGAATCGTATGCTGGTGAACACACCGGGCAGACTTGTTGGAAATATGTCCGTTTGTGTTTGGAATTCGCTGGCATTATCCAAACTTGTCAAAGAATGTGCCGCGCTAAAATCACAAAAGACGAACAACTGACCAGCGTAGCAGACTACGCCTTTTAGAGACTTGTCTCCCTTCCAAAGATTGGCCATGCGTTTGAAAGTAATATTATCTGAAGGCGCCCTGACTACAAGCAATAACGATCCATTTTCTTGTAAGATGTACACATTTTGGTCTTGTTGAAAGCTTGCCATGTTCGATTTGAAGTCATCTAGACACGTGCGTTTTGTTATAGCCTGTGTCATCATATTGTATCTAATAAACTCAGTGCCATCGGACGATGAACAAAACACTAAAATGTCACCATTGAAAATCGTAGCGGCGTATATTCGCCTGATCGAAAGCTGCACATGAGCTAGGCAAGGCAATGTATTGATTGTCATTTTTTCAACTTCATCAAAACACCTTGCACTAACAAAAATAATTTTGTCCTGATGACTCAAAAGTAGACCTTCAAACTGTGAATTTGTGTTCGCAAATGTCACCCATTCATTTAAATCTGTGTCAAAGAATTTATAAGAATAACTGTAATTGTCTCCACATTCTTTAGTATTTAGGTAAATTTTTGAATTTAGAGCAGCAATGCCCTTGGTATTGGAAAGATCTGCTCTTCCGTCTTTACCAGGATAAATTTTATAAAAACAATTTCGTTGTATGGAATAAACTTTGATTTCTCCATTACTGACAAAAGCCATGACATTGGACACGCCACTGCATTCTCGATACCTGACAATATAATTACTGCCGTAACATTTAGCCTGCCAGTGAAAGAGAAGAGATTCATGAACAATTTTCAAAGCTTCTGGGTTCGAGCATATTAATGGATTTTCCATTAGTTTCTCAAGACATTCACGGCTTGCTAAACATAGCCGTGCAGCTTTCAGTAGTTTAACCAGTGTCTGCTCTTTACTAAGATATGTCATAGATTTCATTACTGTACTCACAATGGGCTTTTTGGTATGATATTTGACCCAGTTCAATATAGCATCGACGACAATGTCTTCAGATTTAATTTGCAGAAAATGATCATCTACCATCACGAGAAATTCTTCAAAGGAAAGTTTGTAGAAACTTGTGCTTTTTTGAAAATCTTCAAAATTGTCCATCATAAATCTTTGCACAGATTTCAAAACTTTCTCGGAGTTCAACGAATGGGAAATGCAATAAAAATCGCCATAATTTGAAAGTGTAATATTTTTCATGACAAATTCTTCACACTCCTCAATAAGAAAAGCGATGTCCAATAAATGAGTGGCATTCCACACCTGGATCACATTGTCCACCGTGAGACCATCCTCACCTTTGTAAATACCATTTAAAATAACTGTAAATGTTTCTTTGCTTACATTTGTTAGAACGACCCTATGCTGATTGTTTTCGATCATGTCAGAGCGCATAAGCCCGTTAAGAAATGTTGAACAGGCGCCCAAAATAAATTTGTGGCATTGGAACTCCTGGTCATCAACAACAACGGTAAAATCGCTGTAGTCGTCCTTGGTCCACTGCTGACCCAAGCAAGCCTGGAGGCCGCAAGCAATAGAAGACTTCACCATGATGATTTTTAGAACACTTCTGTAAAAGAATAAAGTGTGGTTTTTTTCGGTTTTTTTTTAACATGGTAAATAAAATTCGCATTAAAATACATGATTATTAAAAATTATTTTTGCCTTTATGTTTTCAAACAAAATAAGTCAAATACAGGGGTATTTAAAAGAGATATCAGTGACAGTCTCTCTTTATATATATATTGTACAAGACACTATTAGTAAGATATGTCCGACAAAAAGGCACTGTCAAAAGATCCTATTAGTTGAAATAAGTCATTTCTAACACAGGATAATGCTGAACTGAAACTGCCCCCCACCCCCACTCTCCATGACTCTTGAATCCCTATTTGACTAGTATTTCCTGTGATTATTCCTTTGAAGACTGAGGCAGTTATGTGTGGTTCTGACGCCAATCTTCGGAAGGTTGCCATTGCATCAATAAAATTTGGTGCTTCTGAGATATCTTTGTCCAACACTGTCAGAGGCCTTGGCTTTTATACTTACATTTAACTTACTATGATCCTTTATCAGTTCTGTGGTCAGGGCTTGTTTCTGTCATCTACGCGCCCTGGGTCAGCTGCGTCCTCAACTTAATAACAGAACAGCCAATGCTATGACAGTCATTCTAATCCAGTCAAGATTAGATTAATGTAACAGTTGTAATTAAGACTCCAGAGGGTACCAAATACTGCAGCACGCATTGTATCGTAGATCAAGAAATCTGACCACATCACCTTAGTTCTTAGAGATATCCTTTGGTTTCCTGTGAGTGGGCACATTGGCCACAAAATTCTGTCCTGGCGCACAGCTGTATAGAAGGCTCTGCACCTGATATCTGAAAGAACTGATTTCTAAACACGTATCCTTAAAGAGCACGCGCTCTTCAACACAGTCCTTACGGAGAATTCCCAGTGTGGATGGACACAGAAAGAAGTCATACGGAGTGCCCTCTCTTGTAGCTATGGCGCCAAAATTATAGAACTGTTTGCCTCAATCTTTGTAGGTAATTAAAAATGATAAAAAAATCATTTACGAAACATTTAAAGAGTTTCTTCTTTAAATATATTTTAGAACATCACAGCGACGTGAGCATCCTGCAATAGCATGGATACAAGCGCTATATAATTTTTCCATCATCTCAAATTCTTGTAAGCTGAGTTTGTGGAGTTATTGAAGACAGTAGAATCAGTTGATATTCAAGCTCAGACTACTTTGATAATGTTGACGAGCCGAACGATGTAGTCCCTACTGCAGCGAGTGAAGAAGGAATGATTATTATTATTGCCATAAATGTACTGAAATGGGATGTGAGTCAGGAGTGCTTCAAATTTTTTAGCGTTGTCTAATAGTTGAGTTTTAGTGTTTCTTTTTTTTTTTAAGTCTCCGTACCATGCTCTTCTTGGTTCGTGATGACACCAGAGAAAAGTGGTGCAAAAAATGTGCACATTTATTATGAGCAGAGATAGAAATGGGACTTGCCCAAATAAGAATTAATGTAGTACAAATTAAGATTGCCCATTTTTTTGATATGGTGTTTTATGTATTTTGCCTCTGAAATTTTTTTTGTGCTGGGATTATTTTTTTTTTTTTTTTTTTTTTTTTGTTTTTTTTTTTTTTTTTTTTTTTTTTTTTTTTTTTTTTTTGTTTTTTTTTTTTTTTTTTTTTTTTTTGTGTTTTAACATTAATGTTATTATTAGATCTGTTGAACAAAAATATTTATATTTTTGTGTGGCATGTATTTAAATTGTGTGGCATGAATTTTAATTGTGTGGCATGAATTTTAATTGTGTGGCATGAATTTAAATTGTGTGGCATGAATTTAAATTGTGTGGCATGAATTTAAATTGTGTGGCATGAATTTAAATTGTGTGGCATGAATTTAAATTGTGTGGCATGAATTTCGATTGCGTTTTAATGAATTCGTTGATCACTTGACCATCATAAAAAATTTAAACTATCACCATAATAATGTCATTAATAGATTTGATGATCATGAATAGATTGAATTGTTTTGAACAGTGAATCTACACACTATATAAAATAATACAATATCTTTTAATTTTAAAAGGTATTTTTGTTTCTATTTTATTTTCTTAGTATATGTAGCAAACACTACTCACTTACGCGTAAAGAGTCCCACACGCAATGATTAACGCGTTCTTACAAATCGCAACAATATTTAATCAATTATTGTTTCTAGGAAGACTTGTTTTCATTTTCATCTCATGTATTTTGCCTATCTGAAAGTATGAAGATAATTACTGATTTGTTTATCACTGTTCTGTCGGTGTATGTCTACTGTCGTACTGCGTTTTCTGGGGTTGGAGGTTATCTTTGGATGTCACGTGGGTCACTGCAGATATGTGAACTAACCCACATTTAATTGATTAGTTATTGTGTCGTTTCTACTTTCAGATTTTGTAATAGGTTTTTAATTACCTGAGACACGATTTTTTTTTAAATTCTCGGCTTTGAAGCTTTTGTCATGGTGAGTATGCTACACATATCACCTAATCCTCCCTATATGACTCCCACTCCTATGTGGCTATGTCCCCTTATATCATCCCATCCTCCCTATATCACTCCCACCCACATAGGATGTGACCATTTCCCCCTATATTACCCCAATCCTTCCTATATGACCCATACCCTTATGTAACCCCTCCCCTTCATGACCCCCACCCCCTGTGTGACCCTTCCCCTCTATATGACACACTCCTCCCTATATGACCCCATCCCTTAGATCAGTGGCTCTCAACCTGTGGGTCGCGACCCCTTTGGGGCTCGCACGACCCTTTCCCAGGGGTCGCCTAAGACCATCTGAAAACACATATACTCTACAGTTTAAAAAGTATCAACGAAAATAATTTTGTTGTTGGGGGTCGCCAAAACATGACGATCTGTATTAAAGGGTCACGGCATTAGAAAGTTTGAGAACCACTGCTCTTGATGGATCAAAGCTAAAGTGACAACGTTTCTGTTCTCAGTTGTGACTGTTTTCTTAGAAATCAATCTTTCGGTAAATCCCTGTTGTTTTCTTATTCTTGTCTGTGTAATGTATGAGTGGTTAACCTGATGCATACAACATTGGTATGGCATGTTCTGTGCAGTTAGCCGCACAACCATACAGTCACCTCATGAGTGGATAACATGATACTTAATTGGGATTAACTTGATTTTCACGTGTTTGTCATAACATCGGCTCCTGTTTCTAAATGAAGAGCAACCCGTGATAAGTTGTTTATTTCTCGTTCATCTTCATCCAGTATCTCTCCTTGTATATCCACTGTGGTGATGTTCAGAGTTTGGAAAAGTAAACCATAAAAATAATAATTTTAGACAGAAATACAGCATCCAGAGAAAAATAACGACACATAAATTAAATTTAACAATACTAATAATTTTAAAAGTAAAAAGCAGTTTTTTCTCTTTTACATAAGATTTCTTTCCCTTAGAGGATTATTCCCCTCATTTAAACTACAGAACACGAAGAGTTATCACCCTTTGTTACAACAAATCCATGCAAAGGAGGACTAGAAATGACATTGTTTATATATATATTTATATATATATATAAAGAAGAATTACAAATAACTTGAACAAATTATTCAAACATAATTTTTCATTTTAAAAAATCAATGAAAAAAATAAAACTGTATCAAAAAGACAGCCAAGTTTTAATTTACAAAATTAAACAAGACAAAGTACATAAACACTACAATTGTAATATGTCTATGCTTACGGTCATCATACTAGTATAGGGTAAATGGCCCTTTGTACTACAAAACACGCTTGATATTGTTACAAGCAAAGTGTAAAATCCAGGCATTCTATAAAATACATAAGCAAAATGTATAATGGCGTATGTATTTCAAAATTTGACCAGGGGAAAAAATATAATGATTAGCCATTGTATAAAAATGCCTGTTAGAACTCAGGTATATAATAACACACATAGGGATTACACTTATAAGCAAATGAAAAGCATGTAACAATGTCAAGTAAAAAATGGCTTTTTTTTAAATTTATCGCACTAATCTGAACTTTAATGGCATTTTGACTTACATTTTTTAAAAAGACAAAATCCTGTTCTATTTCGACACTTGATGTTACAAATACACTTAACAAGCCCTTGACCAGTGGACTGTTTGTGTTGCAGCTGATACGAGAGAGATTAGCTTGTCCACCAGAATGTCTTATAATGTCAATAAAGGCTTCTTACACACAGAAAGCTGCGATCTGGTGTAAAGAAATGGTGGCCGAAAGATTCATTTTAATATACGTGTTAGGAATAGTTTAAATAGAAAGTTACGGTATAAAAATGGACACAATGTGTGGTCATCTTAGCAAATGTGCCTGGACACAATATGTGGTCATCTCATCAAATGTGCCCGGACCAATCCCTGGTCATCTCATCAGATGTGCACGGACCAATCCCTGGTCATCTCATCAGATGTGCCCGGACAAATCCCTGGTCATCTCATCAAATGTGCCCGGACCAATCCCTGGTCATCTCATCAGATATGCCCGGACCAATCCCTGGTCATCTCATCAGATGTGCCCGGACCAATCTTTGGTCATCTCATCAAATGTGCTTGGACATGATCTGTGGTCATCTCATCAAATGTGATTGGATACAATCTGTGCTCATCTCATCAAATGTGATTGGACACAATCTGTGGTCATCTCATCAAATGTGATTGGACACAATCTTTGGTCATCTCATCAAATGTGATTGGACACAATCTGTGATCATCTCATCAAATGTGCCCGGAAACAATCTGTGGTCATCTCATCAAATGTGATTGGACACAATCTGTGGTCATCTCAGGAAGTGTGCCTCCAGGCACGACGATACTAAATGTTGTACTTGATTAATCTCCATCTTTTGCTTTGATCCGCTGTTCGCACAAATTGATTAGATCGAATTCAACATGTGATGCCAAAAGTAATCTTAACAATTTTAAACTAGTAAAATAATAGCCTTATCTGAAAGAACATTTCTTCCCGTGGTTTGCCACACCAAGGACGCAGAGACTCTGGCAATGAAGACATTTGAAGACATTCCGATGCACAAACAAATTCCATTCATTTCATCTGCAACACTACAGTCGACTGGGCCTAGGAAAGGGTTTGTTGAATTCAAGTATGATGCCAAGAATCAAAATATAAAATATTAAAAAAGCTGATTTTGACTGCTGAGATAAATAAAATAAAATACTAGAGACTTCTGACAGACATTTAGAGACTTCTGACAGACATTTAAAGACTTCTGACAGACATTTAGAGACTTCTGAAAGACATTTAGAGACTTCTGATAGACATTTAGAGACTTCTGATAGACATTTAGAGACTTCTGATGGACATTCAGAGGCTTCTGGTGGAAATTAAGAGACTTCTGATAGACATTTATAGACTTCTGGTAGGTATTAAGAGACCTCGGATAGACATTTAGATCTTAGAATGTTTGCCACTGATGTTTATTATTTATTTATAAAAACTCCAATCCCCTTCGTGTTATTATACAAATAATTTGAAATACTTTTGTGACATTACCTTAGTTAAAACATAATTGTTGGATTAATTAAGTTAAAATATCTAAGTTGAGATAACTTCTTAAAATATCTTAGAAAAATTTGACATTCTGGCGTAACTAGGGTTAGTGCCCCCTCTGGGCGGGCCAAGACTTTCTCGCACATATTTAAATGAACAAAAAAACAAACTATACATTCGGACAAAATGCCGCCCCTGAATATATAGAAAATAGTGCCGACTGGGGACGAACACCACCTCCGCACCTACTTCCTCCGCCACTGTAAAGAACAATGACATTTAAAGCATATTAGCTTTGATTTTCCCCAATAGAAAACTTCTGTACACATACAATAAAGTATAGATCTCTCAAACACTTTTACTCTTCAAAACAGATGTGTACGCCATTGTTAAACTTTTCATAGGACACACAAGAATATGTTCAAGACATGCGCACAACGGTGTCGTGTGATTGGAGTTTTCACGCGACAAATACACCAACACGTGACTCTCACAAGTCACGCTTACATTTTGAATAAAGCGTGAGCAAGTTACATGTACATACGATAAACGTGTCTCATTATAATACCAGGGGTTGCGAGGGGGGTCAGGGGTTACGAGGGGGTCAGGGGTTACGAGGGGGGTCAGGGGTTACGAGGGGTTAGAGATTATGGAACCAAAAATGTTTTAAGCATGTTTAATGTCATTGTATCGCTACTTTTATCACGCCTTGCATTTATTTTAAAACCTTGATACCAAACTTATCTACTTATTTACAGAGCATGTCAGCTATTAAAGTACATGTGCACATCATAAAATTGCGACCTTAATTAGAAATGTCGTGTTGAGCAGTCATACTGTCAGTCTCATCAGTTGCTTAAGAATATATTTCTTTACCATTATGAGCATCATTTACCATTGTTATGTACAATAAATGCATAAATTAATCATCAAGCTAACCCAGTTATAAATAGACGTAAAAAACACGTCTTGACAATAAATGTTTTCACGTAACGATGCTGAAACTGCTAAATAAACAAACACGTTTTTTTCCTTCTCTCAGCGGTAATGAGTTGACAATCAATTTATAAATTTGAGATGTATACATGTTCTACTTTTATTTAAACAGTTATTATTGATTTATATCAAATTAATTATATTAAATGTGAGTTTCAAAAATACATTTATAAAAAAAAAAAATTATTTTACACACACCCCCTCAAAAAAAAATAATTAAAGAACCGTAACCGATTAAATTACTATTCCATTTAGGGCGAGAACAATTATTTCCCATGTGATTTGCTAAATCGGTCTCCGAAAATTGAAGGTTCCACAAGTGTGATGCGTGGGTCACACGTTTATGTGTGCGAGAGACGCATGCTACTGCACAGACTTTGTCACAAGAAGCGTGTCATACGACTATGGCCCGAGGAAGTACGCTGACGTCACTTTCTCCTCTTCCGCTTCCGGCTTGATATGACGGGCTGACAGACGCCATTTTTATCTTCGTAACTCGGACAACACTGCGTCACACATTGCTTCATCTCCGTCTTGGTTCTGAAAAAGAAAGAGTTTTGAAACGTCGATAAAAAGTCGAAATGCATTATTATTTTTGATACAATTTTAAATTTCAATATTGTTGTAATTAGCCATACAAATTTTTAATGTGTACACTTCAGATATGGTAGTTGAAGAAATCACTATTTAACCTTATAAGTTTTCATATAACTTTTATTTTCTTTACAGATCCATACGATACCTAATGTTCTTAATCCTAAA